GCGAAACTCTGGAAGATGTAGAATCCTTCATATATTTGGGAAGCATCATCGATGAGTAAGGAGGATCAGGTGCAGGCGTAAAGGCAAGGGCTGTATTTCTACAGTTGGATAACATATGGAACGCGCAAAAACTTTCGACCCATATCAAAGTCGGAATCTTCAATACGAACGTCAAGGCAGTTCTACTTTACGAAGCTGAAACTTGGAGAATTACAACAACCATCATCAAGAAGGTACAAGTATTTATAAATGGTTGTCTACGCGAGATACTCAACATCCATTGGCCGGATACCATCAGCAATAGTCTTCTGTGAGAGAGAACAAACCAGCTTCCAGCCGAAGAGGAAATTCGGAAAAGTCGGTGGAAATGGATAGGACATACATCACTCAAATCATCAAGCTGCATCACGAGGCAAGCCTTAACTTGGAATCCTGAAGGGAAGCGGAAAAGAGGAAGGCCAAATAACACATTACTTCGGGAAATAGAAGCAGATATGAAAAGGATGAATAACAACTGGAAGGAGCTGTAAAGGATTGCCCAGGACAGGGTTGGATGGCGATTGCTGGTGAGAAGCCTATGCTCCTTCACGAGGAGTAACATGCGTAAGCAAGTAAGTAAATAAATAATAAATCAATGTGCCAATAACTTTTCTACTACAAAAGTGACTTAATTTGTCCCTCCATTGTGCATTTAATGATGATACTCACATGTGACAAAATATGATGTATATAAGTGTACCCGTAAGATTTTCTTTCTAGTTAACAATCTTGATAAATATGGACAAATTATTTCACACGGATGTATTGCAAAAAAACTCTTTTTTAAGCCCTTTTAAAGTTACTGTTGGTGGTAATCCCGAACAGCACCAGTGATAGACAAGGTGAATCGAATACAAATGTAAAGGCATGAATTTCTAAGCGAAGACAACATTTGTACAACTAGAAAATATCTGGAACTTAAAGGAAATGTCACACGAGACTAGAGTCAGCTTTTTCGACAATAACCTTAAAACTGTCCTGTTTTCAATTGTGATGGTCTAACATCAATTGTTTCATGATCTCAATCAAAAACATAATAATCTCCACAACCCGTATACTAGTAATCAACATGTGCTCACTAGTGACTAGCTTCATGAGGGAATTCTCGGAGTTCTAGTGAGAAGCCATGACCAGTGGAGCTAATCCTTGTCGGGTAGAGACAGGTATCTACCTCAGTACAATGGAAGTTGCTCGCGCAATTTCGTGGATTGGTTGATGTTAGAAACTATCACCACTGGATGCCGGCTCAGTGGTCCAGTTGGTTAAGCGTTCGCGCGCGAGACCGAAGACCCTGGGTTCGAATCCCACTCGCGGGATCGTGGATGCGCACTGCTGAGGAGGCCCACAATAGGACGAAACGACCGTCTAGTGCTTCCAGGTTTCCAAATATGATGGTCTTACATCAATTGTTTCATGATCTCAATCAAAAACATTTCATTTACTTATCAAATGACATAAAATTCCAAAATTCACAACTTGTTCAATGGATAACAGTTATATATAAAGTTCAAGATATGACTTTTGAGTTCTCATAGATTTTTCAAATAAAATAACTCATTCACCTAGAAGTATCATAAAGTGTATTTTTTTTTGGTACTATATATGTATATTAAGTATACTGATATTAAATTACAGAATAAGAAGTTAAGAGGGTAAATTTTACATGATTTCACATGATAAATATTTTCATTTTAGGCTTCATACTTCATACTTGTCTATGAGACTACTAGACAGGTACATTAGTTGAAAATTATATTTTACAGTTTTTTTCTTGTTTTTGTTGTTGTACTACATTACTAATCATGACTACATGAAGATATATGATGAATTCATTGTTGTAACACAGTAAAAATGATGAACTTTGTATTCTATACACAATATTGATTGAAATGAGAAATGATTGGCATTAAAGTATCATATATTGTTTTTATTTAGAATTTTTTATTTGACAATAAGAAGTTCAGAAGGGGTTTTGTGGAAATTATAGTAATTTCAATAGTTGAGATCATGAGTCAGTTGAAGCTAGACCACCATGGAAAGCCGGGAAGCAATGGACGGCCGTAAATGTAAATACTAAGTTCACTAATTTGTTATTCTATAAGTTCAAATACAACAAAGAACTTTATGCATCAGCTTACTTAGAGTAAAGGATTCGATGTGATAGTCTATTCTATGTTAAACTGTAAAATAAAGAAATAGTACATTACTGATATAAATGAGCTTTATTGACATATAACTTGATCCTAGTATATGTCATTGTAAATCAAACACAGACAGAATATTGTATTCAGTTTTCACACAATTTCTTTATGTTTACAGTTTTTAACAATCACTCATACTTTTGTTTTCCCCTATATATTATCATGTTAAGATTTTATAAACTAATATTACTATAGGGGTTTGTAAACATTATTGTATTTCAATAGTTTGTATCACGGATTGATCCTAGTTTTAGGCAATTGTCGAAAACTAGGAAAAACCTGATAGTTGTTTCACCTCGGTAAGGGACTCTTCTATAGTGTTCGCCCCTTATTCTAGCCAGGTTGAGTGTGTGATAGTTATTCACTGAAGGTAGTGGAAGATTTTCGAGTAATATCATGGATTGATGTTAATAAGGTGAATAAATCCTTATATGCGGGTTCAGTGGTCTAATGTTCAATCATCCCCTATGAGACTGAAAGTATTAAGTTCGATCCCCTTTGGTACGGTCATGGATGCACACTACAGAGGATTCTCATACTAGAATGAAATAGCTATTCAATGTTTCCCAATTTTTTAAGACAGTCAAACTAAGATTAATCTCTGATGTAAATTATAAATCTGAATATTATTACCATAGAAAATTAAAGATACAATTCAATTTAAAGAAGTGAACCTAATAAGATAAGCAAAAAATAATGTTTGATCACAATTATAACTTAATTAAGAACCAAATTATTATCAGTCAGATAGTTCAAATTAAATTGAACATGCCATTCAGCTGTATTGTTAACTAGAAGTTCTTTTAGAAAATTCTTCAAATATTTCATAATATTGGTGCACGTATTTTCAATCTTTTCCTTTTCTTTAAAAAAAATAATTTATGGCTATAATATCAGGTTTTTTTTATGATCATTATTATAAGTTTTCAGTTCATAATTGATTCTTTCTTAGGTGACCTGTCTATACTAAACCAAGGTTATGTATTTTTTTATTATTGAAATCATGAGTTAATTGAAGCTATTACTTACTTACTTACTTACGCCTGTTACTCCCAATAGAGCATAGGCCGCCGACCAGCATTCTCCAACCCACTCTGTCCTATGCCTCCTTTTCTAATTCCATCCAATTCTTGTTCATCTATTTCATTTCCATTTCTCGGCGTAATGTGTTCTTTGGTCTTCCTCTTTTCCTTTGGCCTTGAGGATTCCATGTGAGAGCTTGTCTTGTGACGCAGTTGGGTGCTTTCCTCAATGTGTGTCCTATCCACTTCCAGCGCTTCTTTCTGATTTCATCCCCCGCTGGGATCTGGTTTGTCCTCTCCCACGGTACGTTGTTGTTAATAGTGTCCGGCCAACGGATCTGAAGTATTTTGCGTAGATAACTGTTAATAAACACCTGTATTTTCTGGATGATGGCTTTTGTAGTTCTCCAGGTTTGTGGTCCATACAGTAGAACTGTCTTGACATTTGTATTGGAAATTCTGACCTTGGTGTTGGTTGACAGTTGCTTTGAGTTCCAGATATTCCTTAGTTGTAAATATGCTGCTCTTGCTTTGCCGATCCACACCTTCACATCTGCATCAGATCCACCCTGTTCATCAATGATGCTGCCCAAATATGTAAAGGTTTTTACATCTTCCAAATCTTCTCCGTCAATTGTGATTGGATCGGTGCGTGCTGTGTTGTATCGGAGAACCTTGCTCTTCCCTTTGTGTATATTGAGACCTACAGCTGCTGAGGCTACTGCTACACTGTTCGTCTATACCACCTTGAAAAACCTGGAAGCAGTGAACGGCCGTTTCGTCCTATTATGGGACGAACAAAACAATTTTATAGTTTAACATTTGATATACATGTAGTGTTAGATGAGAATACCAACTAAGTAGACTTTTAGAATATGTCACTTTGCTTTAATTGTAATGTTGTAAAATTGTTTATCATGAATCATAATAATAATGTATGAAATTACCCGAGAAACATTGTAGTTATCTCTTCAAGAACGTTAGAAGTACAACATTATTAATTATTTAGTTTAAACCAAAGAAATAAAACAAGAGTTTTTTTTTATTTGATATTTTCTTACTTAGTACAAGTACATTGATGATGTGAATCACTGATTTAAAGAAAGCAGCTTGTTACTAATGAATAAACTCTATCTACTTACAACTAATATGTAATAATTGACCTTAAGTCGGCTGTATAAAGGTGAAGTGTATAGGTTATCACTATTAGAATCCGATCATACTGTTTTGAATGTTGTATTTAATTCAGTTCTGACAGAAGTCAAATCGAAGTGATACTAAATTTATTTAATGTTTATCTATAACGATTATCAAAGTAACTTGAATTGAACACAAAATTACATTTAAATTTTAATGTTATAAGTGTAGAGTTCAGTTAAAAGGTACTGAATTCCGATTTTCTGTCCATCAGCATTGATCTTCCATCGAGAATAAACTTATATTTAAACTCTTATACGCCAGTATTACAGTCAATGATACAATCGTCATGTTATTCATTATATTATTTGATTAGATAATAATCGGCCAATCATATTGGCCTTACATTTTATACTATAAATTTGTACCTGATTTAAAATAATAACATTAGTGTTTTATCAGATTCAGAATAAGAAATTTCTTAACTGAATTCATCACTAGAGCCGTACTCATTGCATACAATTACCAAAGGCATTGAACAATCTATTCACAACAACTCGAAGAACAGTAACTACCGAAAATTCATCTAGTTTAAAGTAAAATGGTATGATAAAGATATATGCTAAAACTGGAATTCTACTGTAGGTTTTTTTTACAAGTTTTCTCTTGTTTAATCTTTGTAAAATATACAAATGTTAAGAAACTAAAAGCTAAAGGGATTATCATGAATGAATTAGGGTTTTAGTTTGATAATATTGAGCTTAATTAATTATAAATGAAATAGATTGTAGTTATTCATACATATAATAAGTAAATTATGAATTTTTCTATTCCAAGTGATTTAGAAACAAGAGTAGTATACAAATCTAATGTATCACATGAATAGTTTAACATTTTAGATATTAAACTGTTAAACTGATGGTGACTGATAGTTTTTAGTTCATGAATATAACTTATGTACATCTGGTCTATATTGAAAAAGATTTCTCAAAGTAGCTGTGTAACCATTTTACAATGATATGGAATAAATATTTAACAAATAACTGAGTTATTCCCATTATTTTTTAAAAAACAATATGATTTTGACGTGACATTTTTGTTACTATGAAATTCATATGTTATCAATATACAACAAGTTTATACTTTAGTTAGAATATGTTAGAAATACATTCTTGTACGAATTCACTTGGTGTTGTTTACTTGTATCTTCCCATTGTTATTTAGGACTGCAATTGATCAATCTCATGTTGGCATATGTGCACCCTGTGTGGATTGCCTCGATATCATCTTAAGTCACAAGTTTTATAAGCAAAGATGGATAGTGGCTAGCAGTGGAAGATAAAAGTAAACAACACCAAGTGAATTTAAAACTTCGCCTCATTGCACAAGCAGGTAGCTATCAGGACTCAGTAGCTAAATGGACAACGCGATGGCGTTTGAACGGTACTGGGTTTGAGTCCTGGAGTGAACATCAACTCTGAGATGCAGGTACATTCAGCTGACGAGTCCCAAATAGGACGAAACGCGCGTCCTGGATTCCACTGCTATTCACTATCCATTTTCACACTCTTGTACACTTATAAAGATCACTTTACAAACACGTTTCTTCAACCTTTTTTCATCTGATTCTGATATTTATTTCAACGCGGAAGATTGTGTGTGTAACTGGCTCTTCAAGATTCATAGAATAAAGCTAATAGTATAACTATGTTCATTGACACTAATTCTCAAGCAACATTGAAGATCATATTAATACTTAATTCTTCTCAGTATCGCTTGATGCAATGATAAATAATCTCCACGCTATCATAACATGGATTTAAATTGATGTTAGTTAAATTAATTTCTTAGACAAGGAATTCAGGATAAATTGAGGAATCATGTTTTTAAATTTTACTGATTGACTGTTTGCATATTCAGATGAATAATATGCATGATTATTCATAAAATTTTGGGTGAGGTAAAAAAAAGAGAAAATAGAATACAAACGATTATATTTACGTAGTAAATTTATTATCGACAGTTACACCATACGAACTATGTTTTTTAAACAAAACAGGCATAAGTATACTGATGACGGAAATGTGTAGATAAACACCGTCCATAAATATCATGAAGGATTTGGATGGTTGCTTTTCTCATTTAAAAATCTACACAATATCCATGTACCTAGAAAAATTTAACCAAATGTTTAAGCCAATTGACTTAATTTTTTAAGATTATGATTAGCTAAACAATCTCCAAATTACTGTCTGATTAGAATGTTTGCATAGATATTAGTGATATCACGATTTTACTGGATTTCCCCCGTAAAACACCTACTATTATTGGATTTGCAAAGGAATCCCAAAGTAAGTGAGTAAATATGGTGTGTAGCATAGACTTTCCAGTCATTTGGAGAAAACTTTTGTTTCTTTGATGCGCATTGAAATTGAAACGGTGAATAGTAGAGTTAGATACAATAAAATAGGCAACTGATCAAAAACATTTTCTAAGTAATGGGACTCAGTCATTACATTTGCAATTACTTATTAATTTAAATAATGATAACAATAATATGATTACACGACGTTTTTACACTAAACATGTGAGCATAATCCACGAGAATATTACTCACTAGTGTGAGATACAGATGACCTGAGTAGTTTATTTGATACGAACTGACAATTGATCCACTACAAACATGTGGACATAAGATACAAATGAAAAGAAACCATATGACAAATAGTATGAAACTTATGATTGTTGAGATCACATACAAAACACTTAATCGATTTATTTGTAAAGCTTCTTTTTACAAATTAACTTCCTATTTTATAAAGAAATATTTACTGACAACTAGCTTTCGTAAATTTGTACCATTATGGTAATAAACCATTTGAATAGATCAGGTTTACTCTTTTATGCTGTTCATATATGATCGCTACAATTTCACAGTGTTTTCATTCTCTTTTGTATGATCTAAAACTATGAATTTAGTCATTAAGAAACTGTAAATAAATATTAACAAATAATATGATACCGGAAAATCTTCCTTTCTAATTCACTATAGGTTAGTCAGTCAATCATTAACATAACATATATGTAAATTAGTTTAGATTATCATATTCATCATCAACCGCATCAAAGTAGAAAGTTCACCAAAATGAAACTGGAAACAATGCAAATAATAATACCAGTGTTAACAGTAAATCAACATTAGAAAATAAAGTTAGAAAGGAAAGTATTCAACCAATCTGTGAAATTTCTAAAATCTCCACAAAACCCATTCTGATAATAGATAAAGAGTTATGCAATGATCCTTTAGTAATCATATACGCATTAATCTTGAGCAGTGTAGTGAAAGACAACACAAGTGAGGACAATCGAATGTAATTTATCACAAAATTACAGAATATCTTAGTAAAATCTGAAAACCATACAGTACTTCGTTTATAAAATATTAGTCAATCGTCTCAGACTTCATTGTTCCTTCGTTTCCATACTAATCATTCTCTGTTCTCGTTCTCTTTTTTTCGTTCTTCTTAACCTTCTGTCAACTTTCACTTTCGATTGGTGATACATACTACTTATATCTATCGAGATTAGTAGTACACATCACAGTAGTAGTTTTAGTGAGCGACAATTTTTTTTCATTTTGAAACACTTAATGAAATTTCTGTGGATAATATTGTTTGAATGCTTAAAAATGTTAAAAATTTATTTAATTTAAAAGTAAATCACTTATGATTTTTTTCACCACAGATCTTTATACTACTGGTATCATCTATTAATCAACTTGCTATCTTAATTTCTAAAAAAAACGTTTTCATCAGAAAAGGAAATAGTTCGAAGAGAAAAAAAAAGCAACAACCAAACTATGAACTTTTATCCTACTTTTTTTTCTTATTCAACATGTTGGGGACAGTAAAAACAATCCAATTTTGGGAAGAAAATTTTTATATGAATTTCAAAATGGTTATTATATTTTCTATTCTATCATTGCATCTATTTCTATAGTTCATTCTATTGTCTTTTTGAATAATAATAAAAGGAGACAATATGAAATGAAATAGTTGTTCAATGCTTGTTTCTTTTTCTCGTTCAACCTTGCTGGTAAATTATTTTATTCTACTTCACATTAACCTTATCATCTTTTTTTCTCTTATTATAACTAAGATGATAATGATGAACATTAATATCTAAATTTGTGAAATCAGGAAGTTGTAAGGTCATCATTGAAATTGTCGATCTAACCTACTTTTTGGATTCTTATATAGATATATATACGCTGAAAAGGGGCTGAATTTATGGTAGTCTTGCGGTCACCAAATCAAACCTACCTGCTAGCTAGTTAGCAAATTAAGGTAACGAAATGAAGCATGATATCATTTTGTAATAAAATTAAAAGTTATAACCAGAATTTAGGCGATTAAGTGATGCATATATATATATATATATATATATATATATATATATATATATATATATATATATATATATATATATATATATATATATAAAGATGAAATAATAAGCAGTCAAAAAGCGGGTCAGGTCAATTTAAGGCTAAGTTATTTCATTCCTTAATGAAAATGATAATCTTGTTGATATTTGTGAATATTGTAATTATTGCTATTCTGTGTAAACTTCGAAGTGGAATTGAGTTCTGATGTTATTACCCTAACATTTTGTCGCAAATTTTGTTCTTCACGAATTGATCAGTTCAGTTCTTTGGATCGTTTCAATACTTGTCAGTACAGACCATATAATTTCACTATATTTGTGTATGGATTTTTAAAGTAATCCCAAATTTCTTGATAAATTTAGAACTTCACGGGATTAACCGTCTACTTGAAGTTGGCTGGAAGTTCTAAAATTCAGACCTGTTTTTTGATTGATTGCACATAATATTTTTGTTGTTCCGTTGTACTATTTAAACTTGGATTAATTTTGATTTGGTTATTTACTCTCTGAAAAAGTAACTTACACTGAGTCACGAAACGTCAGAAAAGCTGTTTTTCCTACTCAATGGGATATTACAAACATATTATTTGTTTATAACAATTTATCCAATACTCAATTTATTCGAAATTATCAAGTCAATTCTTGGTAATGATACCTAAAAATTCTAAAATTTTCAAACTAACACTTTCTGATGAGTTGAATGGATGGTTTGTTTAATGATATCCACTTTAATGAATTCATGATATTATGGGCGACAAACAAAACTTTTCAAAACTTAGTCTAAACACAGATCTAATCAATAACATGTTAAGACGTTTGTAATTTTATTCTGAGAAGAAAGGATGAAAAACAACAATAATGAAAATGGCAGGATAAAATCGAAATGACCTAAATTCTTTTAAGAAAATGGAATGGATATATGTTGTTTTGTTTTTGTAAATTTTTGTTTTTCGTGTTCTTAAATCTATATTGATAAAATGTTGTTTTCACTTCAGAGCTTAGTGACTGATTAGTATTATGGTCACCATTTGACCTACTTAGTTTAACGTTTCAATGATCACCTTACATATTTTTGACATTATTATTCTAGTTTTAAATATGACCTAATTCGATTGTTGTTTGAGGTCAATTTCAGTTGTTTTCCTAAATGACCTCTAAATATTATATATATATATATATATATATATTCAAATATTGTTCCTCTGACTGAGTGATTAATAACTTACTTCAATCAATGTTTCATCAACATTCCTATCCCAATGTTTATGTGTATGATGATCATAATATATATCGTAATACATACTACTGAATGTTTTTAATCCACTGAAACTGATTAGTCTTACAGTTAATATAACTGGTGTTTAATCTATTTGAGTTCTATCTAAAGTAATTGAGTTGAGATGACTAAACCGCTCATAAATCTACATTAATTATAAGTACTTTCAGTCTTCAAAGATAGCTCAATAATAGGTACAAATATTTTGGATATCTGGGCTTACTGAAGGTAAAATTGTTCGTTCACAAATATAATGTAACATATGAAAAAGATATTGACAACAAAATCGAGTCTATTCTCAAAATCATATTCGAGTTATTGGTGGTATTATCATTTTCAATTCGAACATTTTGATCGTAAAACAAAAGGTAGTGCGAGATGGATTATCTTTAGTTCTATTGAGAGTGTTATAGATGATTATTCTGAAATCAATTATACGGTACTCAGAATTAGGCTTAACAAAAATTAGGCTCCCAGATTTTGAAAAAGTCAGTATTTGAGTAAGATAAATGTAATAATCAGACAAATAGCAGTTAGTCAAAAATATCATCAAAGTATTTTATGGTGTCATAGATACAATTATCATAATTCATACTTGATAAAGTAGTAATGTTACTATTTGCTTAATGTTCAAATAATTGAATTATGGTCTAGATTTACGTTTAAAACAAGGTTTTACTTTAATTATTACCAGTTATATAAGTTATTATAAGGTATTGAAGACGTTTGTCAATCCAGGTATTCATAACAAGACCTAACAATGGTCAGACAATCATTGAAGGTATAAGATTAATAGTCTGCACTACTTATCTGGTTATAAAAAGCAATTATGAAATAAACTAAATAACTTTCAGTGATGATGTTTAAAGCTTCACTATTAGCGTCAAGTCTATCAAATCATTATATTCACTATATATAAAAAGGCGTTTAGTTATGTACTGTCTACTTAAGGTCATAACTGAAAATTATTCAAATGGTAGTAGTATTTATTCAGCTATTGTAAATAATTCTATTTTGATTAGATGTAGGGAAATATTTATTTCATTTAATTATTCTTATTGAAATTTCGGATGTAATCTCTGAATTGAAGAATTCTTCTTATTGAATACATTGTACTTATAATTAAATAAGAGAAAAACATTATTAAATCATTTCAATGTTTCAATGCATGTAAACAATTATTTCTGTAGTGTAGAAAATAAAACTGTTTATGAGCAATTCATTGATTTTTATCATTATGATCATTATTGTAAAAATGTAATAAGATGATGATAAAATCTGTGAAATATGCGAAGAATTGTTACCAGGATATGACAATTCATTTTGTATATAAATAATTTATCATTCCGACTAGATCTGACAGTTCACTAATATGAGTAACTGCCTGGAAAGAGTTTTGATGGTATCAGTGAATATTATACACCTATTCCGACTAACTAATTACTGATCTATCTTGAACTAATTGCTTTTTGTTGTGATGTCGGGACAACCACTATGTTGTTTTAACAAAGACAAAAAAACACACTAATGAAATGTACAGTTTCAAATTCTAATTCATCTCTCTCATCTGTTTGAATTTTTTTTTCTAGGAACGAACTACTACTCAATACACTGTACATAGTTATGGATATATTGATGTATATACTTTTTTCAGAATCCATCATTATATGGTTAGATGTCTATACATCAAACAAGACATTACGGTCAACACCGATTTCCTATAAACAGTTTGGTACACTGAATTGATTCATCTCTTATTTTTTTAAATTTATGGTCTAGTCATTTCATTCAAACTATAATCACAATGTTTTATAATCTCAACCGATTATTTTCCTCCTTTAAAAAATTGAATATATGTTCCTGAGCTACAGTTTTTCTTTATCACTGTGAATTCCTAAGTAAATCATAAAATAGTGATTATCACCATTATTTCCTAGAATTTCAAAGAAATTTTACCGGATTAACTAGCTACATCATGCTCTGATTTCATTAGAGTTCCTTTTTGTGGCATTGTATGCATACAAAATCTGCTAGTTTTGGTAAGTCCAAGATTCTACACTTCTAAAAGATATGTTTATTAGGGATTTGACCACAAACTAAAAGGTTAATATTGAGTAGAATTTCTTTTATTTCATAGTGTTAGAAAAGTTCCAAAGACGTTAGTATCAAATGCATTGATTCACTACAGAACTACTGTTTCCCCTCATTTAATAGTCCTTGCAATGAAATATTAACTAATAGAGTTAGAATGAAAACATTTTTATCAGTAAATACATAAATCTTTCCAACTGAATTTACAGTAGCGCTTAGAACTAAAGTTTAGTCGCATAATCTATAGTATGATTATCTTTGTACTGGATATGTTTAACTGAATATCGATAACTAAACAGTATGAATTGTTTAAACATTTATCGTGAATCGATCTTAGTTTCATTTTTTTCAACCTTTTCATGTAACTGTAGACAACTAAGTTGTGATTTTTCTTGACAGTCAACCAGTCGATGAATAACAGGGTTGTATACCCATACGGACTAAATCGATTAATGAATATATATATATATACAGTTTCTTAAACTTCTTATTTGGAATGTAAGTACAAAACTGAGAATAAGGTCATTTTAAAAGTAACACATAAACATCAGCTGTGATGATAAAGACTAAGATAATAACATCAAAGGAAATACAATAATAATAATGATTAGAACCAACATTTTGTACAAGAGTTATTTACTCCTCCTTAAAGTTCAAAAGTTCAACATGCACTCAACTCATAAACATGGGCGTTATTAACAAAGAAAAATACAATAGCTATTTTCTTTTTGAATAATAATAACAATCATAATGAAAACAAACCGTAAATAAAATGATATACAAAAGATGATAGAACATTTGAAAAAGAGTATTTTGTCAGAAAGAAAAACAAAACAGAAAACAAAAAAATCGAAGAGGATAGATTGGTAAATTACCTGAATTATTATCAGAAGGGGTTTTGTGGAGATTGTAGTAATTTCAACAGTTGAGATCATGAGTTAATTGAAGCTAGACCACCATAGAAAACCTGGAAGCACTGAACGGCTGTTTCTTCCCATTGTGGGACCCTTCAGCAGTGCGCATCCACGACCCCGCCTTGTGGGATTTGAACCCAGGACCTATCAGTTTCGCACCAGGCGCTTAACCAACTAGACATTAACACTGTTGGATGCCAGCTCATTGGTCTAGTTGGTTAAGCGCCTGGTGCGGAGTGCAGGATCGTGGATGCGCACTGCTGAGGAGTCCCATGCTTGGACGGAATGGCCGTTCAGTGCTTCCAGGTTTTACAAGGTGGTCTAACTTCAATTGACTCATGTTCTCAACTGTTGAAATTACCTAAATTATGTTAAAGTTCATCTAAACAATTTATTTTGATGAAGTTTTGTTCTCTGATCTGGATGATTTGATCAGACTATAAAATTTCATCAAAATCACCCAACTAAATTAAAAATCTTCTCTATCATCTTAAATAATTTATTTTATTGAATTTTGAATTAATGATAATTTTGTTATGTAATTAAATGTTTAAATTTGTTAATTGAAATTTATAAAATTGCACTTTGACTTTATTAAAACTTGGCAACATAATGTATCTATGATTATTTTTAAATATGAATGTTTTATAAACATCTTGATTTCATAATACCTGTAATTGTATTGAATCGGAAAAAAATTTTACGATTCATAACGATTTTATGAATTGTTCATACGATTTATGTCAAGTTAAATGAGTTATTATATCAAGTAGTAAACCTAAAAATGAATATTTAGTGTTGATTATCAACCAAATGTAGTACTTAAATTCACTTGGTATTGTTTGATTGAATCTTCACACTGATGTTCAGAACTGCAATTGATCAGTCCCATGTTAGCATATGTGCATCCTGTACGGATTGCTTTCTAAGCAAAGATGGATAGTGGCTAGTAGTGAAATCCAGGAAGCACGTTTCGCCCTTCTTGAAACTCGTTAGCTGGATGTACCTGCATCTCAAAGTTGATGCATATAATGCTTGTGAATTAAGGCTATATCGAGTATGTACATATGCCATTTAGAGACTGAACATTTGCAGCGCACAACCTATTCAGGTGAGTTTATGAAAAGTTTACAACCTTTCGCTGTACAGATTACAAATAGGTACAATCAGCGATATCTAGGTGGCTGACAATATGCTTTGAAATGAATGAACATTATTCATAAGTCGATTTCCGAACTCCTAACATTTAACTGGCTGTTACTAAATGTTTATCGTTAGGATCGATCAAGAAATAAGAAAAGGAATCTTGTTGAAATACTTTGTGCTGAGAATTCTATATTGTACCAAAGATGTAATACTGAATAAAGCTTATAATAATAATGAAAAAATAAACATAAATTGAAAGATTAAAAAACAACACAATATTAAGTGAATTTAAACTTTACTCAATTGCGAAAGCAAGTGGCTATCAGGACTCAGTAGCTAAGCTGATAACGCGATGGCGTCTGAAGCGAGCGATACTGAGTCCGTGTCCAGGTGTGCACATCTACTCTGAGATGCAGGTACAGCCAGCTGTCGAGCCTCAAGTAGGACAAAACGTGGATTCCACTGCTAGCCACTATCCATCTTTGCATAAAATGTAGCACTTCTTTGTATTGTTGTACTGACCATGCTCTGGTAGTTAAGTAGATATGCTAATTTAAAATAAACATGATGTTTACTAACACCCAATGATGGTAACTGCTACGAAGATGGGATGATATGTGAGTTGACCGTATACATTATACAAGAAAATAATGAGATAAAAACTATTCACTTGTTATGTATAAGATTAGATAAGTTAAAACTTGTAACAACATAGATTTATACGTTTAAAGTGAAATTATCTACGAACTTTTGTTATTATAGGTTTTATCATTAAAAAATAAGAAAGACGTAATAGAAAACAAAGCATTACTACTACTACTACTACTACTACTACTACTACTACTACTACTACTACTACTACTACTACTACTACTACTACTACTACTACTACTACTACTAATGATAGTAATAATAATACAAATACTACTACTACTATTACAAACAAGCTCTGTATTGATTAAAAACAGTCTAGTGGACTATACTTTGATAATCTTCATGTATCAGCCCCACTGATATACAGCTAATGAATTTAAAACTATAAAGAAACTTAAATTATTGATTAGACTTCTGTCTGCTGATAAACCATATAAAAATTTTCGAATACGAATAATGTTATTTGTAGATTTCGCGTACTTCATTTTGAACTGTATTTTCTGTGTGAGAGCTATTGATACCGGCCAGCTCGCCAAATCAAAGTAGATGAAGTGGTGTCAAGATATGTGAGAAAAGTTGAAAACAGAACACTTCAACGATTAAATCAATGAATTGAAAATATTCATAATGATAATGACGACTCGTTATCTGATATTAGATATTAAGTAGCTTGTAATGTAGGTATTTCTGAAATTTTATTACCTCCCGGTTTTCAGTATCTGTTGGTACGGCTGAGGTCATCATGTTAGACATTATATTCAACGATGATGTTTCAACTATCATTCACAAATCTATTTAAGAAGATTCAGGCTTTGAAAAAACCAGTATAATAATTATCAGCTCCGTGTTGATTAGCTGGGAAGTTTTGAGTGGCCCATTGATCTAACTGAGATTTAATCGAGTGTTGTTAACGAAATATAGATGCCACCTATCCTCGTATATGATTAGTAACTTAATTCTTTTCAGTGAATACCTGAATAAGATAAGCCAAATAAGAGGATGAATTTCGGATGCTTATATTTCATACGTTTGTTGATCCAGACAGACAATCAGAGAAACGAAGCGGGGAAGCAGACCAGTGAAGGTAAGAGTGTTAATCTAATTTCATAAAGTGTGGGTCAATATTTATAGCCAGACTAAAATAAACTAAATATATGTGTTAAATGGGGTAAGCGATGCACACACATACGCTCATATAAAATTAACCAAGGTTAAACGGCGAATAATTGACGAGGTCAAAATATGACTCTAAAAGTATTAATAAATTGGTCTGTATGGAAGCTACAATAAACCATATGGGCTTGATGTAGAATTAGACACTACGAGTTCTATTTTTGTAATCGGTATTAAAATCTCAGATAAAGTTTGACGACTGAGTGATCTTCCTTGATTTTTCCGATACAACGTAGGAATAAGGTGAGGTAATTATAAATTTGTTATACAGAGAATTGAAAACAATGGTTTGTAATGGTTTTATTAATCAAACTCAGAAAAATGAATTTGAAACGACAATGTTAAATGAATCCATTCATTTCAGACATGACTAATAATGTAGTTTCTGAGTTCTACTTTCTCATTCTATGTCCTTATCAACAACTGTCGTCAAATGTTTTTCTTAAATGATTTACTTTTATCATAGGTCTAGTATTTCGGAAATTTCGTTGATTAATTATTATCTAATTAATGGATAAGAAACAATCAGTTATGATGGACGAATTTCCTAATATGCTCAGCCATATAGGGAAGGATATTGTTGGAGCGAAAAATCTTTTGTGTCCTTTAATTCATATTGAAGAAAATAGCGCGTATTCAACTGAATAAAATGAAATGTAACCATAATTCTGTTGCCAAAATAAGTATCAAAATGATCTCATCTGTGCTCGATTCCTTATAGTGACAAGCCCAGTGGTCGTTAAAAATAAATTTCATTTCTTTTGGATTCGTATATTAATGTAGATACGCATAGCGTCTATTTCACTATGTATTACTGGATTGTAAACAAGTAATCAGCATCTTTGTCTAGATCAATCTGTTACATCTGATTTTCGACTTGTAAAGTGTTTTTAACTATATGATTTTATTGTACATGTTTAAACATTATTTAACATGTTCCAGGTTTTCTTTCAGAATTTGTAGAATGTATTTCATTTATAACAGTCATCTTTCGAAACAGTCAAGGGTAAAGTTGTTTTTCGTTCAGTGTTTATTCACATGTTTCATGCCAATATTCGTATGTATTTACCAATAAGATACACCTTAGATAATTCGGCAAACAATTAAACATTCACTTGGCATATTTTACTTGTATCTTCCTATTGTTATTTAGGACTGCAACTAATCGGTCTCATGTTAGCATATTTGCATCCTGTGCGGATTACCTCAATATAGCCTTAAGTCACAAGCTTTCTAAGCAAAGATTGATAGTGGCTAGCAGTGAAATCCAGGACTCGCGTTTCGTCCTAGCACCCAGTACCGTTGCACAAGCATGCATCTATCTGGACTAAGTAGCTAAGTGGATAACGCGATGACGTTTGAAGCGAATGGTACTAGGTTCGAGTCCCGAAGTGAACATCAACTCTGAGATGCAGGTACATCTAGCTGACGAGTCCCGGATTCCACTGCTAACCACTATTTTGTATAAAACACTTCAGTTGATTTGAAAAAACACATTTACTGTTGAAATTCATCTTTCTGGAAGAAATAGTCCGTTGGTCCTGCTTTTTTTGTTTTGTGTTTAATACAGTTACTCATCTTCTCATCATGAATAAACAAATTTCAACATCAAAATTTATATGTGGAAATAAGTTGAATTCCCTAAGTCAGATCAAATGAGATAAATGAAAATTAGGATATTTCGAATAAAAGTGTTTCTTCGAAGATTTTGTGGATTGGAACTAAAGACTTGTCGATAAAATGTTACTTTAATAGTTGAATTTATGAGTCAACTATTAAACTACTTTAATATCCACAAAACCCCTCTTTGATTATAAACAGACTGGTTCATTCATCGAATTTCTTTATCGATAACAGAAAACACCACCAACTCAACACATCGAACCCATTTTTTAAGCTACAAATTTTTCTCATATTCTTACAATTCCCTTTAATTTCCAGGTATAATATTCGCATTCAATAAATATATATCAAAAAGAGATAAACTGAAATTTTCGAACGTTTTAAATCTTACTACTATTATTAATTATACTACTAACTTAAATCATTATAATCATTAGAAAAAAAGTTTAATATTTTCCTCTATTTTTATTCAGAATTTTTAATCAGCGGTAGTGTAAACTTATGACCTTAGTGACCTTATTTAGAACAACACACTAATCTGTCTGAATTAGGAGAGAATTAAATGACTGAGATTCTTCGTGTTCTTTGTCTGTCATACATTTTGATTCTAGGGGTGTGTGTGTGTGGAGTGAGGACGAGTTAATTTCATTGATTCCTTTCACATATGACCTAATTCACGTGGCCTTATTCAACCTTATATATATATATAAATAGACTAATTTATTACAGAATTTAACTGACATGATCATTAGATTTTGGTTATATTTTTGAAATATTAGTAATAATTATTAATTAGGTCAACAAGGTTCAACTATCTAATGAAATCAAAATGATTTTCTAATATTCATAAACTTATTTATTTTACCTTATAGATTAGTTAGTCGTTCAAGATAAATATTCTTTCTAAATTTATTTGTTATTTTTTTTATCTTTGAAGCTAGTGTCCAAACAAACAGAAAAATTCAGATAGAAACAATATGAACAATGAAAAAATTATTTCTTCTGATGAATATAATAAAATTCTAATAATAGAGTTAGTGATCAAAAGTAGTAACATTAGTTTAGGGTCGGGATATTTATGGGAATCAACAGAAATTTAATTAACTCAGAATTAAAATAACCCATAGTGTCATTGGATAAGAAAAAGGGAATTCAGCGAAGAAAATTTTTCTTTTCGCATCCATTTTTGTGATGGAATTTTTTCTATCCTCCTATAAACATACATTTTCCATATACGAATGTACAGCTTCAGTAAATGATTTCGTCCGGGAAGGAAATTTTCTTCGCTGAATTCTCTTTTTTTATTTAACTCAGAGTTTCACATCATTCTTTCCAATGAATATATGATAAATAAGGAGACTGTGTTGGGGCTTATTGTTGATACAATCATTCAATGAAACATAGTTCATTTCAGTGTTCAGTTATTTATGTTAGCTACAGTACTAAATAATTGACTACGAGTCACTTATGGAGGCCATCTAGTGTAATACTGGATATAGATGAATGTTATAAACGAACATGTAAATCAAAGTGAATTTCTTTTGACTAAATAAGGGAATATTAACGAACTATGGTAGCTGATAAAATTTACCCTGTATTGTTTTTAAACAGACATTATCCCATAGTGTTCTTGATAAATTTCAAAGAGATGTTTCCTGTTAAGAACAGTTGTTGAAATTACGTTTACTAAAACAGGGGTTAGCATACTCAGTAAACAGCTTGTATGTCACTGATTCAACTATTAAGCAACATAATGTAGCAGAATAATCGATGTAAACTAGTCATTGCTTACTACAGGAAAAAATACAAACACTGCCTATTCCTTTAGGTTATATAATCTGAGTCAGTGATAAATGCTTCAATATAAGATTTCGAAAGCTTTCATAAGTCTTCTATAAGTTTTGCTAACAAAAGTGAGGATAAGGTATGGTTTAACTATCAAGTAAATCATTCCATAAGTTTTACGAAATGAAGACGTTATTTGAAATTCTGATTCGATTTTTTTGTATTCTTTAACCTTTTTCTTACACTCTATTGGAACTTCATTCAACAAGTTATCATAAGCAAATAATTCTGTTTAGTCACGTTGACACTACAGATGATATGCAATTATAATTTGACCTGTACATTATAACATTGATGTATATCAATTAACGTTTAATTAGATACAGTTTATATATATATATATATATATATATATATATATATATATATATATATATATATATATTATTCAAATGATAAATCACAACGAAGGACTACATTACTTCAAATTATAGAACAAAATCTTTCTGTATACGAAAATCGAATGAGAGAGATACATAATCTTCACTTATTATTTATTAAATAACTGATTATCATGCTAATCTACTTTATCTAATTTCTTATTAAAGTAACTCTTTCATAGAAATCATCTTTCACTTTTCTTATACAGAAAGCAATCATGAATCTGAAATGATTCATTTACTCATTGGGCAAGAATACATAATGTAATCAAATTTCTCATTGATAT